GAACAGTTGTTTCCCCTCGACTCAGAAATTGACGGGTTCGAGCGATTTTCCACATTTTCATGTTAACGCCGGAAACTCGAGGTGTTAAGTTTTCGTTGGACCACACTGTATAATTTGATGGTTTCGGTCATGGTTATAGCGAGTTCCATGGAATTGTCACGCCTACTTGACAATGGTAACGATTAAATAGCCAACATAGAATGAAGACACGAAATAATATCTCAGTCAGTGTGACCACTATGAATCCTTCCTAATTATCGCTGAGGAATATAAAAATTTGAAAGGTAAATCCAACTGTAAAACTTCGACTCGCATATTCGGGTATCTGAGAATGAAACTGATGAATTAAAACTGTTGATTGTAAAAGGAACTGATTGGAGTATGGATATAACCTAACCTAACCAAACATTCATTTAGATTTTTCTAACACGTCAATGGAACCTTTCTAATTCCACTCAAGCTTTTTTGAACTTGATTCCATAACCAAGATCTATAACAATTTTCAACACTTTTACAGCGCTTTGACATATTTGGCAAATTTCCCAAAGCCAGATTTTTTGCCAAACAAAGCATACTTTAATGTTGTTACAAAGACTGAGAGATAAGCGTAAAATTTGTCCAAGTATAAAAATATAATTAACGATATCGTAAATGAATATTTACGTGAGAAATATCTGACATTTATCGCATCAATGACAAACGTTTTACAAATTTATTGACCATCGGGTCATTGATTCGATTATGTCCACGCAAAAAGGCACAGTAGTCTTCGCTTTTTCTTAAGCAAACATATCTTTTGTGCCGTTTAGAGGTGCTAAACAGGTAACAGAGCAAACAGAAAACAAAGCACCACTACCAAAATTCCCGCTAATGAGGATGTAGATATGAAAAGAAACACTTGATTCCACGGTGATTAATAACACATGTGCTAATGTAGGTAGTCTTACTTTATCTTGAGGCAGTAAAGTGTTTTTATGATTAGATTCGGACTCTTAAGAAGCTATTATTCATTTCTGAAAGGTGTGGGCCTTATGTGGAAGATAATTTAAGTGGAATGTCCTGACAGAGGTTTGTTTTATGAGAGCAAGAAATTAAATTAACACCTGAACACGAGTATAGTAATAATTTACTGATAGGGTTGTTGGTATTGAATTTCCGTATTTATATTTGGGAAGAAAGGAAGGAAGAAAGAAGGTAAACTCATCACACATATACTTTTTTCTATTCTGTTTGTACTCGATACATTCGTTAACGAATTGAATCAGATATCTTGACACAAGTGACATCATCTTGGATAAGCAGCATGGGTTTTGAAGTGGGGAATCCACTTATACAGCAATTCAATCCATCGCTTCAAAAGCACTTCGGATAATTCCTCTTCCATATTCTCTGTTTCAGTATCACTGTGAAAAACAACAATAAAAACCAAAAGAAACTTATCAAACGATTGAGAGACAAGGACGTTTTTTATTTAAAAGCCGACAAAGGTAACAGAGTAGTAATTCTGGATAAATCGGACTACTCGAAAGGGTCCAGGAACCCGTTACCAAAGATGATTGCCGAAGTAAAAGACGTCCTCAAGAAATGCGACAACATACTTACCCCTCAACAGAAACGGAAGTTACAAGTTTCCATCCCAACAGTGTCGAAACTATATTGCCCCCCAAAAATCCACAAACCGGGAAAAACAATGCGCCCCATCGTGTCAGCTATTGGAGCTCCTACCTACCAAACAGCAAAGTTTCTCACTAAGGAATTTGAAACCTTGTCTATTGCGGAACCAAGTTTTAGTATAAAAAACTCTTTAGAGTTCATACAACATACAAAAAACGTGGTTCTGCAAGAAGGTGAGATTTTGGTTTCTTTTGATGTTAGTTCCTTATTTCCTAGCATCCCAATTCCACAGAACTTGCAATACCTCAGGGAATTACCAGAGAACAATAATAACGAAATCGATGAATTCGTTTCTCTTACTAATTTGTGTATGAAACAAAATCGGTTCTAGGTAGAAGGTTGCTTTTATGAACAACAGGAAGGAACGGCCATGGGAAACCCCTTGTCCCCCTACCTGGCAGACCTGTTCATGAGCAGATTCGAAATGGAAACCAAAGAAAAGTCGAAGTATTTTCCTAGAATTTGGCTAAGGTATGTGGATGATATTTTCGCGATATTCGATACCAAAAAATCGAATATTGAGGACTCTGTTTCCATTTTAAATAATAGATGCCCATCAATAAAATTCACGTATGAGGTAGAAAATGAGGGACAACTACCATTTCTTGACGTTTTGGTAATGAGGAGCCAAAATGGAGGGTTAGAATACGATATATTTAGAAAAGAAACAAGCACGTACAGGTATATTCCTGACAGTTCAAATCACTGTGGACAGCACAAACGTGCTGGGTTGAATTTTTTAGTGCATCGTCTTTTGACTTTCCCTCTAACACATGATAGGTTCACAAAAGAAAGACGTACAATACAGGAAATAGCAGCCACTAACGGTTTCTCGAGGGGTATTGTAGATGACATAATAAGGAAGAAGAAGGTTAGGTTAAGAATGAACGAAATCTCGACTTTCAGAAAGGACAAAAACCAAAGATAAATACATCTCAGTTCCATACCACAAATATACGAGGAACTTTGGAAAGATTTTCAAGGAACTAGGTATGGAGGTGGTGTTTAAAACAAGTCATACACTACAGAGCCTTTTGGGAAGTTCAAAAGACAAAGTCGAGAATTCGGAAAAGTCTGGAATTTACGAAATCGAATGTAAGGACTGCGATGCAAAATATTATGGACAGACAAAAAGATCTATTAAAGTGAGATATAAGGAACACATAGCACACTTAAAATATGGAAGACCTGAAAAATCAGCTGTCGCCCATCATATTTTGCAACAAAACCATTCCATAGGCTTCAGTTCATCAAGATTAGTTAGACAAGTTAACAACAACAGGCAACTAGATGCCTATGAGAGTGTAGAAATAAGTAAACACAATAATATCATGAATAACGATGACGGACCTATACCAAAGAGCCATACTATATAGCTTGTTAATATAAAATAATGTTGTTGGGTTTACTGATTACTACATAAGGATGCATTGCAAAAATAAATTTAGATAGGTAATATTGAGAAATTAATTTAATATAGCTGAAAATTGTTTTATATACAGCTTTAACAGTTAAATATATATTGTAAAATAATAGATAAGGAAAACTTGTAAAATTAATTTGGGTTGGTATACCTGTATGGGTGGTACACCTGGATGGTTAACCTCTATGGGATATCTATATAGCATAAATAGGGTTAGTTTCGCGTTAGTTTCTAGTTTTAATCTTCCTTGATCACTTGGTGATCGAAACAAGTGTCGAGGTGTTAAAAATAACGATTTGGTGTTGGGAAAAAAAAACTCCAGTAAATATAGATGAAAGAGTTGCGATATGAAGTTTCACTCACATAGAACCCTGATTTCCTCAAGGGCGGACTTCGAAGTTTCGGAATAAGACATTTGTCTAATGATAATGAATAATTTTGAAAACAAATGGTAATTTCTGTCATTCTTGGGGGGCTTGCATATCTCCTTGTATAAAATATAAGTGATATGGTATTCAAAACAACAACAGAACGATATTAGTGATTTTAGATTATTTCTCTGAATCAAACACAAAACATTTCGTCATCCACGAGGCATTTCCTGATCACGCGTATCTTGTTCCAGCTAAATGCGAAGTATTCTGATTTACAAGCTCGTGGGTCAATGATATCGTCCAAAAACTTGTATAAAACTAGTATACCGTTGGAGTCGATGTGCATAGTTTAAATTTTAATGAGAACCTTTGTCAGTACCCACCTTCCAATCGTGTTTAACGCTAATTTCTGGTGACGTGAGTTGTTGAAAGGTCGAGTTCTTGTTCAATTGCCATTATGGGGTAACGCTCGAATATTAATTTGTTGTGAAGAAGACCGTTTACCACGGTTCTAGCTAATTGTTTAATTTACAGAAAACTTGATCATTCTCATAGCCATTCGATTACATGCTGGTCATGTAATAAGGACATTTAGTCGAGTCTTGAGCGGTTTATATACTAAACTAGTTTCTACTGAGAATAATATGATTTATGTTCAATATTTGTCTCGAATATTATCATCTAGCTTCTGAAAACGTGATCTGGATAACTATAGATCAATAAGCATTATTTCTAGTATTTCAAAACTATTTGAGCTGAATATGAAAAACCAGCTGTGTGCTTTCTTCGATAAATATAATCTGCAGCATGGTTTCATTAAAAAGAAAAGCACAGACTCTGCTCTCTGTGAATTCCACAGCCATGTAATGAAACGACTGTACAACAACTTTGTGATGGACCTATTTCTGGACTTCTCAAGCGCTTTCGACTACGTCGATCATAAACTACTTATTTCTAAGTTATCGAGATATCAGAGGAGTAGCCCTGCATTATTATTGGAACACACATGCATACCGGTTTCGGGCTGTTTGGCCACTCGTCAGTGCAAAGTAGTGTCTATCAACATAAAGTCAATGATTTCCGATAATTGAAAATCGAATTCTTTTCAGAGTATCATTCCTCGAACTAAGCTGAAGCGGACGACAAACAACGTGTTTGTCATCGCTCCGTCTGTCTGTGATGGAGGCAACCAACCGCATATAAGAAATTTGCCCAATTCCTTGTATAAGGAAGAAAACTCCACAAAATGGAGTTGAAGTCAACTTTTGACTTCAAAACGATTTGTAATTTTTTTAAATTTAAATTCAAATTACACCAAAAAATCTGAGTTCAAAGTCAGATTTTTATAAAAATTTCATTTGAATTTAATATTTATTGCGGAACTGAAGTCAAAATTCAGAATATTATCGTTGAATTCTGACTTCAATTCGGAATTTCGTTGAATTAGGATATTACACTGGGATTTTTTTCGAATTCAGATTTCCCATATCTAAACCTTTCATGAATATTCTTTAGTACAACAAAAAATCAAATGTTGACAGGTTTATTGAAGTAAAAATATAGACACAATCACATCACAATGTTTTTAAAATAAAAGTTATCAGTTAGCAATAACGTCATTATTTTTCATTAAATATTCCGGCATGTGAGTAGTGGTGGCATAATACATTCACATTTGGCTTGTTTAATGGTTCCATTCAACTTGATTTCTGTGTACAATCCTTCACTTAGTTGTAATTTGGTCTTGCCGAATTCACAAATGAAATCTGAAATGAAACCGTCACACCATTAGTCTTATTTAGTTTGTCGTTCTGATATTTTTGAAAATAAAATCACATTGATATCATTGATACTTGTATTTCCGATTACACAGATTTTTCAACACTATTGCAAGAAAATATAAAAACTATGAAGTTGAGGTTTGTTCAAAAAATGAAGTGGCAAACAATGTGTGATCTGATTTGAGCATTGAAAGAAAAAAATCTGGAATCCGATAAGTGGAAACTCTTCAGGAAAATGTTTAGATTATCCACAATATCTGGACTCTCAAATTTTCAATAATTTTCATCCTTCTCGTTTATCTTCTTCAGATATATTAGATCGATATAATAATATGTAGCTTGTTATTTTTGTTTTACAATTTTGGAAACCTTGGTTTCCAAATATGTATTTCAGATACATATGTGAAGTTTTTTTCATATGCTGGTTTATTATTTCATGAAATTTTGGTTGTTTGAGAGCTTATCAATGAAAAAATGTTTGCCGAATTCCTAAAAATACTAAATTTTCTGTAATTTACATTAGACTTATTACCTGGATCGTTGTTAACTTCAGGATTCAGGGTGATAACATCATCAGATACCTTTTCTGAAATAAAATTATAATATTAGAAAGTTGATCTTATGTATCTGTCGAAAACTTTCAGCAGGGCCAAAAAATGTTTCATTATTCTTGATTATGGTGTCAGTTTGTTGAAGCTATTTACTTATTCCACAGTTTCTCTCTGAATACTAGACAATTTGGGGAGATCCAGAGGAGATAATAATAAAAAACAATGCTACAAATCAATAAAATACACAAAGTCAAGAGAGGGGTGCTTCATCATGGAACTACCAAGACATCACACATAAAATGACAGATGACAATCATCAGATGTCATACCAACTATCGAATGACAGATGACAACTATCAGATGACACGTACGTACTGTCAAATGACAGATGACAACTATCGGACGATAAATGGCAACTATGAGGCGACAGAGAGCAGAACTATGGCTAGTTTTCGATGATTACAGTTAGGAATTGTCAGTTGATCGTTCTATCATTTGCACTTACGACAAATCCAACCGAGTGGACAGCAAATCGGGTTGTCATCAGTCGTTTCGTAATAGGGAGCACATTTTTGCTGGACTTTATCTGCGTCGTTGATTTCTACAGCGCAAGACATCCTCTGGCAATCCGGTTCGCTGTATTCGCTTTTGAAATTTTTCGTGCAAATGCATGTCAGGCATGTTAGCTTTGGACGGAACTTCTCTCCTATTCTATATGTGACTCCGTCCACCTCGCATCCCTCGGGTTCTTTATGAAAAGCAGCTGAAAAATTGCATATCTGAGAGATATATTTATACACTAAGTCGGATTTTTGAAAGTTTGCTAGAAGCGGTGCAGTATTTCCAAGCTATCGCTCAGGGCCCCAACTTTATTGGGGGATTCCCAAAACATTCGTCAAAGCGAGTAATTTCAAGAACTACACAAACAAATTAAAATACAACTCAATCTGATATCTTTGGCGGATAGACGTCAAATAGCTGATATTGAGTTCTTATATAAAGAAATAAATAATTGTTTTTGATTAATGTACCTCTGTATACAGGGTGATTCAAAAGTACTTTGACAAACTTCAGGAGGTGATTCCTCACATTATTCTAATATGAATTGTCCAAATAAATAAATGTCCGGAAACGCTTCGTTTCCAAGATACAGGATGTTGAAGTTTTATTTTTATTTTCGTTTTTTTCAAATAACTTTTGAAATACTGAACTTAATTAAACGAAACTTGGTAATAGGAGGTTTTTGAGGTGTCGAATTCGAACCTGATGTTCTTATTGCTCTTACTCGTAGGGGGCGCCACCTACACGTCTTCTTCTTTTTTAAAGATTCATAACTTTTTTGGGCGTACTTCTAACACATTTTTCAGTAAAAAAATCGATTCCACTATCATATCTACGTAAATAAGCTACCCCTGTTACTAAATATTTGAACTTGAAAACTTCAAGTCGATTATTTGATAATCGATGCATGTTGAAGTTACTATGAATATTTTGCATTTTTCACAACAATGCTTTGAACAATCTAATGTAAGATGTACTTACGGCAAGTTTGAGAAACAGCACAGCATTTATTTACTTCATATTTGTTGTAACAACCAGGTTTCAGGAAAACTCCTTTCCACTGCGGACAATCTTTTATACTGCAACGAAATTTGCCGCCCCTGAAAATGACAAATTTACGTTATTTCACTACTATCATTTCTGGTATTAAAGAAACATCTCGAAAATTACGAAATGAATCTGTATCTGTAGAGTAGGGAGGGTGAGTGATCTGGAGTAAATTCCACATCCTGAGCCTTCTTTGGTTTTTGAGCTGTCTGTATATCCAGTGGTCCAACGAAAAGTATGCACTTTGCTTTATTCCCTTTTTTTGTAACTTAACGCGAAAATGCTCGGACAGGTCAATTTTGTACTTGTATTCAACACGTGCTTTTCCGATGAGAGTACATTTTTTTTAATGGAGCTGTGAATAGGCATAATTGCCGTTACTGGGATGACAGTAACCCACACTTATTAAAAGTTTAATTTCTCCCAAGTAAGAGAACAGTCCTGAACAGTCCACAAATTTTGAAGTGACAATTTTACAAAATTCCCAACTTTTCGCTGTTTTGCCCGAAATTTCGGGCAAGTGTTGTTTCCTTTCATTTGTATTGAATATTCCTAATACATGGTGAATGGAAACATGGTAGATATGGTGGATGACCAAGGACCTTGGTCCAAAGTTGAATAATTCCCATTATTATTTTCATAATCACCAAAATTTATTTTTGTTTGTGCATACCCTAACGGGCATAAGCATTCAGCCAATCTTTGGATAGCTAAGTAAGAAAATTAATATATTATAGTAGTAACTAATTCTTCGGCTTTCATTTCTTCGAAAGTTGGGAAATTTTGCTGGAGGAGCTGGGAAAATTTAGATTCCCTAGTTTTTCTTTTCGCTACGGCCCTGGTTTTATCGAATGAAAAATAATGGCGTCTTTTCAACACTTCCCGTTATACAGAAAGTTGGTACCATTTTGTACTCTATACATAGATGCCGTTTCTTTCTCCCAAATTTTAATTTTTGAGTCTTTTTTCAGCTTATTACTATATGTTGTTGTTGAGCGTTTTTCGGTAAATTTTCCGCTACGAACTCAAATCGAATCAGAATGCAGCCGAAACAGTCCGCAAATTAAAGAGGTATTTGTCAATGATAGTGTTAATGAACGTACTGCTCGAAGTTTGTTTGAAAAATTTCGTTTCGGAGATTTTAGGCTCGACGATAGCCACTAAGCTCGAAAAGTGGATTTCCCACGATTTGAAAGCTCAACAGAAACTATCGATTTCGAGATCTGTTCTTTGCTTTTGCACAATCAAAACGATCCTTTTTTGGATCGGAACGTCAAATATAATGAAAAGTGGATCCTCTACGACGACAGGAGACGCAGACGCTACCCAAAGGCATGTCAACTTTGCTGTGTCCTAAAACTAATTTAGAATTTGTGCCTTACAGGGCTTTTTATCAATAAACATAAATGACAATTTTTTAAAATTCGAAGTTGATTTGTGAGTGTTAAGACTAATATATTTTTGTTTGTTGGTCTTTCAGTTGTGAATCTTCATTGAAATATATCAAAATTAAAACACCAGCAAACAGTACTAACATTCCAGAAACCTGTTATCCTGAAATGGAATTTGTATAAGGACGTTAAAAAAGACTCATCGACACAATACTTTTTGAAATCTTTTCAACTTACGGAAACAGGCAGAGGCACATCACATTACATTTTTCGTAAGTGAAGTCTATAGCGAAACCATCTGCCATTGAGTAAGTGATCCCTTTGAAAACGCATTGTCTGTCGTTGCCTGAAAAATTGCATTCGTACTTGATCGGACAGATGGAGTTGTTTTTCTTCACCGCTTGACAGCCGATGTCTTCGTACATGTTGATGCCCAGTTCGTCGCAAATTGGATCTTCTGAAAAATAAATGGACATTCCCAAAAATTGTTGAAACTCCTTTCACTCATGCGCCATCTATGGGAGCAACAGAAAACTTAATTTACGAGTATCAAAGCTGAACGTTCATGAAACTGTTTTGTTGAATTTGCAAAATATACTATAACAATTTTCAATTGAAGATGATTCATTAGCAACGTCGCACTTGAAGTGACCGTCGAGTAATCTATGATAATGTATTTGAAAAACAAGTATCGGCCAACTCTAACTTATATTTTAAAGTTAATAAATATAACAGTCTATTTAATGAATATAATAAAATATATTTAATAAATACAAAAGAACGTCAGCTTCACAAGAAACAGAACAAACTACGCCTATGCAGATAAGGACGCTTGATCGATATACAGAAGCTATCTCGTTACGGGGGGCAAATTTTACGGAATCATCTTACTTTTCAATTATTTACAATGGAGATGCATAGGCAATAAAAATGACCCCGGTAAGAATTTAACATTGTTGCCGTTAGCTCTCAGTTCATTTTGTGTATGAGTTACCTTCAATTGAAAATTGTTATAGTATAGTAAACGTCTGACGCCCTGTATATCAACCCCTGTGATGGAGCACTATGAGATGTCAGCTGTAGATCGAAATAACGAACTACCAACTTCAAAAAATTCAGCAAAATTATCCGAAAGCTACTTTTATTGAGGTTTTATCAAGTGGTTTTTGCAATTTCTTACCTAGATGTGCGTAGATGATACCAGATAATAAACTCACAATAAGGAACATAGTAGCCAGCATTTCCATATTTTAAGTTCAGTGTTGAATCCTTTTATGAGTGTGAATATTTTGCTTGAACTACCTACAAAGTAAACACCATTATCATTTTGAACAACAATTTTTATTTCAAAGAATTTTGATTGAAAACTCAATAATTGATGAGTTCATATCTATTAATTTGAACTTTTTGAGAATATTCCATTAGTAACAGTGACATCTGGTTTTTGACATTAGGCATTTTCAATAGTATATGAGTAATTTACTGTTTAAAAATCTGTTTCAAAGAAAAAGAAAATGCCTAATGTCAAAAACCAACTGTCACAATTAAAGTAACAGTAACAATTGATTTTAAAATATTAGGTTGTCTTAAGAGTTTCCTTCGTTTTGATGTCATGTTTTTTCAGCTTATTACTATATGATTTCGTTAACCGAAACAGCCCGAAAACCTAAATAGGCATTTGACAATGATAGTGTTAATAATCTAATCAACAAGTTCAAAAACATTAAAAATAGAGATAAAGGTCCTAAAAATATGAGCGATAGCTCATTCGATTCGAAATCACTTCTAGAAAAATGTTTTTGAAGGATTTTGGTACAGGTAAAAAATTGCGATTGTTATTAACAAAATAAGATTAAAAAAAGAATGGTATTTAGTTTTTCGTTATCAGCTATTTTCAAAAAGTCGGTGTGCTCTTGGTTCGTTAAAATCTCTATTTTCTGATGGTTATAAATTACTAGAGTGAATGTGAATGTTCTCAGAAAATGCAAAAAATCGAAAAAACTTGTAGTTTTGCCGAGATAAACCATATTTACCCTTAAAAACTCACCCCCCCCCACTTCCTGAACTCAGATCGCCGTAATTTATTTCATTTTTATCATATTCCCCTCCTTTTGTAATTGGTTACATCCTACTGTTTTTTTTTTCTTTTTGGTTTCAAAAATTATCGATCCTGCTCCATCACTGAAATATTACAGTTTGAACTCATAAAAACGGACAAAACTTGAGAAGCAACCTTATAGTTTTTGAAAAGCAAAATCAATTCTTATTTTAAAATCTAGAAAACTTTTCATTTCCTTTCGTTTCTATGTGTTGATTACAGCTAACCTTAATATAGACTTATCCAGTATCAAAATCTAGTGTATGGAAATCAAAAAATACTTTTAATGAGACTCATCTGCAAATTTAGCGGTGCCAAAAAATTAAGAAAATTCTCATTAATTACTTTACTTACCTACAGTGTTGATACTCTTGAGTAACGTTAAATAAATTCAATCAACATGTACTTATTTAAAAACTAAACTATTTCTGAAATCGGGTGAAACATATTTGACACACTCCTAAAAACTGTAAGATAGTAAATTTTTTTGTTCCAAGCAAAAGAAAAGGTGTTTTCCATGGGCGTATCCTACGGCTATTGTTTGGATTCCATCCAGGAAAATATGGCGAATGTACATTATAATTTCCTGTTACACGATTGGGCGATATCTTTCATCGTATTGAAAATCATGGAAAAAACGAAAACGACAAATGTATCGCCACAAATATAAAATGGTTTGGCCTGACACTTTGCAATTCGTCCTAGGAATCACATGTGAAAAGGCAAGACCTCGTTAATCTTTTGCTCGCTCGATATTCCTCAAACAGATGTTAATATGTGATTATTATTATTATAATCTAAAACATCGTAGCAAGGTTGAGGTCTCCTCGTTTTTCTATAGATAATTGTTCGACTTGTACCGCTTGATTCCACTGAGAGCGGTATTACGAACTCTGAGCGTAGTGGAATAAACTTTCTGGGGAAGCATTTCAGAATGGATATAATACAGCGATTGTAATACAATTATTGTAAGGATTTCTCAGCAATACTTGAGCAGAAATAAAAATTACCCAATATTGTAATTATATTGAAGTACAAACAAGCTATTTACAAAATAAAAGAGATATAAAATAATTCTTTTTCAGCAAAAGCAGAGCGGAAGCAGTGCCAATATGGCTAGTGGCTTTATCCGGCTCAATACGTCGGGAAAACGTCAAATTTTCTTCTTCTTCTTCTTCGTCATTCAGTAGCTGCAGCTGCCTCAACTTTTCTGCATGTTAACCAGGGGGGTAGAATACACTCACATTTAGCCTCATTGATGGTCCCATAGTAATCGACTTTGGTGAATAATCCTTCACCCAGCTGCAGAGTTTTCTCGCCGAATTTACACGTCAATTCTGTGGAAGATAACGGTTTATTCATCAATTATGCAAACCGCCTTCTAAAATTTCAATATTCAAATTTTCGAAGTATTTACATAAAAAAAAATTATGAAAGTCATATATAACTTGAATATTCGGTAAAAATAGATATTCGAAAGGGCATTCACCCACTGTTTGGTTAACTACCTGCCCACACTTGAGATAGTTCTTTAAAAATTCATAAAGAATAGTTTGTATTCAAGAGTTTCGAGATAATATCAGTGGTGGTTTTTACTAAACAAAATAATTTATGTCTTACCTGGATTTTTCTCTGCCTTGGGATTGACGACAGTGATCTTGTCTGTTGGTGTTGCTGAAAAAAACATTTTACTCAGAATCAACTGTTTCGAGAATAAAATTAATTTTCAAAGTAGAATTTTTTCTGCCAAGTTTTTTTTTTAGGATAATTGAAAATAATCGGAATGAATGAAACCTCAAAAGTCATACGAAAAGTACATTCAAACGCTAGGAATCACACGATATGAGGTAAGACCTCGTTAATCCTTAGCTTGCACAAGTTTCGACCTGTGAGGTTTGTCGTTCGCAGTGCTTAACGGGAAAACAGCTTTTGAACTAATGATAATAATCATTATTATAAACAAGGGGTCTGATTTATACTCACGACAAATCCAAAGACTGGGGCAACAGATAGGGCTGTCATTCGAAGTTCCATAATAGGGCGCGCAGTTACGTTCAATTTTGTCTGAATCACGTATCTGCACCGCGCAAGATTGTCTCCTACAATAAGGTTCCTCGTATTTTCCAGTGAAGTTTTTGGGACAAATGCATTTCAAGCAGGTATTTTTGGGGTAGAACTTCTCTCCTTCCATGTACTTAGTTCCGTCCACTTCACATTCACCAAAATGCTCTGTTTTTGTTGCTGGAAGGAATAAACAATTAGTAATTCAATCGAAAAATTTGAATCGATAAATAGATATACGCAGCCATCGCCATCTTTTGGTCACAGGCTTTAGAGTAACTCGCTTATGTTACATTAACGACTCATCTCCTCTTATGTAGATGGCGATAGTTGTTCATTGAAGCATTGTCTATAGAGCGATATTTTCACATTAGTTTTGTCTTTGCCCGAAAATCAATTTTTTTGGAAGGATTCAATTTATTGATTCTGTATGGGTTTGTTGACGTATCACAATCAGAGATTGGCATGGAAGTCACTGAATTGAAAACCAACTATTTATCTAATTTGCTGGCAGCTTTCTGAAAAACTGTTTTTTTTAAGTTACCAACGAATGGTTTTTGTTCGGAGATTTCCCAGATTCCACAAATACTTTCGAATATGAAAAAGGAACTCTGACTTTTCTACAGACTTTTTGAAGTTTATGTGAAAAATATGACATAGCTGCACGCCAGGGCCTGATTTAGGGAAGGTTAGTGGGGCTACCTCGTGGCCTCTACAGGGGAGGGGACCTCACAATAAATATAAAAAAATATCAAATTTTTGCCCGTTCACTAACTTTTTCGTTCTCCCTACCAAACATTTTTTTGCGTTCTTACTGAGTTTTTGAAAATTTGTAATTCTCTTAGTTGAAAATTTAACTCTTATAAATGTTTTTAAGGGACCTTCAATCATTTGTTGCCCCAGGGTCTGCAGACTTCCAAATACGTCCCTGAAGCACGCCCCAGATGACCAAATGGAAAAATAAAGAAATTGCTGAGAATGAAGTATGTTGCGATTTTTGATAGTTTAAAACGTATTGGGAAGGTCATAAAGCTTGAAAAGTGGGTGCTCCACGATTTGAACGATCGACAGAAACTGTCACGTTTCATGGTCTGTTCTTCTTTGGTTTTGCGCATCCAGAACGATCCATTTTTGGATCGGAGATGAAAAGTGGATCCTCTAATACAATAGGAGACGTTCAGGACACCGATGAGCCATCGAGGGACTTCCCAAAGAAACTTCGTCAATCAGGACCAGGCAAAACGGCCTTCGACGACTTCGTCGAATCCCCAGCACACAATTTTCATGCTAGACCAAACACATGCATCATATTATGGAAAGTGTAACATATTGAGGACTATCGATAAGATATTTGCAAATCAGAACTCTGACTCCAAACGTTAAACCAGTTTCCTGATGCTCTGGAGATTTCAGATAGAAGAGTATTTCGAATGAATGAGAAATCAGACATCGGTATTGCGATTGTTAGCATCCATGCGATTTTTAGCACACCCATCAGTTTTTTTTAATCACTGATGACAAATTTAGCCTTCAGTTGTCACCCTGAGTGGTTGGATGGCTTATGAATATAATTCATGCGATAGTCGAAGAAAAGAGGGCCAAAGTGGGATCCTTGGAGAACCGCGAGGTAACATCTGTTAACTTGAACCTATATCTATAGATCTTAACAACCTGAACGCGAATTGATTAATATCTTTTAAATCAATTCAGAAGAGGACTATTGAGATCTGATGATACTTACGACAGTTTTGTCCTACTGAACAACATTTATCAACCTCATATTTTCTGTAGCAGCCGGGTTGGATAGGAAGTCCTAGCCATTCTGGACAGTCTAAGACAGCACAGGTGAATTTTCCCCTTGAAATAAAAAAAATAGGTTATATATTGATGATGAGGTGAAATAAAAGAGATTAATGTTATGAACAAAATTAAAATGTATTTAAGAAATAGTTCATAGCTCAAAGTGGAGGCAATTATTCAGAATCAGAATCAAAACCATGTCGTCTCTACGAAATTCATACATATGTGTAAGTCAGAAAGTAATGGTAATTATACATGTTTCGAGTGGAATGAGCCACCCATCTTCAGTAAAACAAGAAACAGCTACACAGAAATAGGATATAAGACACACTTGGTGATTTTGAGTAGTACTTACAGTATAAAAATCGTTAAATTAACTTAGGTTGAACCAACTGAATAATAACGAAGTCATACGAGGTGATTTAACAAAAAAGGCTTTTTCTTTAGCTTATGGTTATATCCCTTATGGCTGGGTAGAGTATTTATAATCAGTAACATTGAAATTTTTGTAAAAATTCTCAAGGTGTAAATCAAACTGTCGTACAATACACACTGTTTGATAAAATGGCGTAGACATAATGTTTATTTTATTTTAATCAAAACATGTCTAATTTTCATTAATTTCTGACTTACAAATATTTATATATACAGGGCTATTCAAATTCGTTTCTGTACATGGGGATCTCGTAAACGATAAGAGCTAGAGTATCGGTTAAACTGTGGCAAAGTTGCGTATTTTAGAGACCTATTCAATGATGTAAAAAAATCGAATATAGCTCTTTTAGTACTGGAAATATACAGAAAAAACAAAAAAATACCAAATTACTTTTATGCCTATATCTTCTTTATTCGCAGACATATTGAAAATCTGTCCACATTTTGCTATTGGCACTTGATGTAGGCTCTCAGAATATATCCATGAATCTTTTATACAGGGTGTCATCTGACTTGGGCCACCCCTTCTTTGAATTTTCAAATACGGACCTGTATTTTTTGTTGTAGTTTTTGGATCGTAGACGTTCACGTCATACTGAGTAATTGAATTTCATTTTACATTTCGGAATGTTTTGGTAATATTTAATTATAATTGGCCCTGGAAATTGGTTGACTGAGTAAAATAAAAGCACAATAGCAAATTTCACGTCTCCCTATGCACCGTAGAGTTTTTAGAGAGTTTTTTTTTCATTTTTGGGTACCTATGCATATTTTTTCATGTTTCCATTGCTCTGAGCGTTTTCTACAATGAACGAGGTCTTACCTTTTAACGTGTGATTCCTAACACGGTTCTTATTATAAAAACGGTTTAGAACTTATTGAACGAATGTTGAAAAATAAATACATTCTTTTTCCACAATTTTTATGTTTTCTTAGTTGTGCCGGGTACATCTAGGACAATCCAGAAGCCCTGCTATTTTAGCGTTATTGCAAATCTGAATAATTTAAAAATATTTCTACCGTCTTCGCAAAACACGTCTGTTATTGCGAATACCGTAGCTGCCTCAACAAAATTTATAAATAAACATGAGCTTGTTTACATTAATAATGACCCGAAAACAAATGAAGCGTACAAGCACCGTGCAAAGTACATTCAGGATAAAATTAACTCACGGAATTCGACAGAAGCATCCTACATTGCAGGTATCGTAGGTGACGTCATTGTCGAGATGTTCTCCTACAGATAAGCTGCGACCTTTGAACATGCAGGAGTTATCCTTGGCATCAAAATGGCAGTCGTACTTGACTGGGCATTTGCGACCTTCTTTCATCACTGGCTTGCAGCTGATATCCTCGTACAGGATGGTACCCAGTTTGTCGCAGTCTTCATCACCTGCAAAATCGAGAATTGTAAATGCTGAATAACAGAAGCGCAGAACGGCCACATTTTATTTTTTTTTTGGAAATAACGACTTTGAAACTCAAAATTTATACTTTAATCCCAAAATTTCGAGTTTAAAGTCGTAATTTCGAGTAAGGGCGATGTCGCCATCTATGGGATAGTCAGAGAATTTAATCATGGAATATCAAAATATTTAGTACGCTTCCGTCATCATCCGTACTAAATAGACAGTACGTTTCATTTTCAATTACTCGCAAGTCATGTCCAGGAGGAACACCCCGAAATGTTAAAGGAGATGTCAAAAAAGATCCTATACTATAGTTTAAAATTCGTTCTAAACTTTAATGTTTCTGTCATCTGATGCTCGTCGTATTGAATATATACACAATCTCTTGAATCTGTTCAGAACAAATTCTCACTCAAAATTGGCTTCAAATTAGGTCTTAAAATAAGGAATCACACTTCTTCTGATATATCAGAATCAATCTCCTATTATCTCTAATAGAAAATCGACCTGTTCAAAATCACTAATATTTTTGTTCAAACTTATCTTTGGTGATATTGACTGTCCAGAGCGTCAAGTAATATTGGTTTTGGGACTAAGCAAAAAGACTCCAGGGAATTTTGCTTGTTAACGTATCCAGTCAACCAGAAATGAGCCTAGTCGCTGAACACAGTTTTTCGATAAAAATGTGAATTTTTCTCCAACTTTGCCAGCGCCCATTCACCAAATGTTAGACGTTGTGGGAGGTCGTGTGGCTTCAATTCTTGCACCAGCTATATCTTATAAGGTTTTACAGCCAAATCCTTTCACAAAATTTTCCACGTAGTGGAGTAACAGAGGACCAATTGCAGCGAACGGCGACGAATCGACATTTCACGGTCATCACGAACACTGGCAGATACAATCGCAATATTTTCTTCGGTTCTCACTCTACGTTGGTGTTTTAATGTTCAATAATGTAAACTGGGTTCAAAATTCAGTCACAAGCTTCCGAATAGCTCCCTCAGTAGGCCGACGAAACTGCCCATAAATTGGAAGAAGTGTACGATGAACTTTATTCACCGAGAATGAATTTGGATAATAAAATTCAATAATTTGCAAGCGTTGTTCATTCGTAAGTCGATTCATGGTTGAATTATAGACCAAACTGAATGAGTTTGACAATGACACAAGACACGATTCACGCGTGATCTGTCAAAAACAGTGTTGCCAAAAAGATATCAGGAAAAATCACTCATTATAAACAGCGAAACGTCAGGAAAACATTCCAAAAATCCATGGACTTCGAACCTGAAGAATTGTGACACTGAAAACCTAGGCCGGGAATCGCAGAATTTTTTAATGTACTGTATCCTAAAAATTACACAGGCATTCGTCAAACTTCAGCGACCTTATTTGTTGACAATGGTGGAAACATCCCAAATTTGAAGAGATACGGTGGTTGGAAGTCTACCAATGTTGCTGAAGGTTATACAGACAATTCATTTACGAACAAAATTAAAATTGCCAAGACCATTCAAAAATTATCAGGCGAAAACAATCAATATGAAACGGAAACTTTACCTTCTTGTTCTGACTTCAACAAAAGGCATTTAAATATACCAAGCACTTCAAACAAATTGAATCTCTCCAATATTAGCAATTGTTCGAATTATCATATACACATTAATATAAATGAGAATCAAAATGTTAGAAAGTTTGTTCTACGAAGAAATACAATGAGAAAATGTCATTTATTGATTTTTTATTCCAAACGGTTGTCGAAAAATAGTTTACGCAACACAACAGGACTCGCCTATTGACCGTCCTAGGATTGTATGTACTCGTCCAAAAAAACATGGACTTGCTACGTAAATTACTATTCCATCAAAAATATTCTTGAGCAATGATAAAATACCATGTGTCAGAATAATTTAAGGGTACAAAGACTAAGTTGGTCCTTGGTAATTTCTCTGGAAAATCTTTTTGAGTCTGAAAAACTCAGATTTTCAGCTGTCTTGATTTTCCTTTAAGCTTCTCACTCAAATTTAACCTCATAATCATTTTGTAATATGTATATTTAAAAGTATCAGATCTTCAGTTAATTTACTTATAGTAGACTGTAATAAAATAGGCTGAGTACATTTTGACACGTCAAGTCCTAACATAGAACCAAAATTTCATTAAAAAAACCTTGTTGAATCTCTAGTAGTAACCTACTACATATTAATTGACATTGTGTGTTCGTAAAAAATTATAAGACGTTTCGAACTTCCGTCTGTCGTCGCCGGTGTTCCTCGAAATAAATCACTCTTTCGCCTATGGAAACCTTTCTAATTACTCGTATTTGATCTTCTCATATGGTGACTCATTTGTGTTTGCTTACCTTCACCTGCCTGAATAACGGCCAATGTTAAACTCACGAGAAGAAACGTAGTTCTCAGCATGTTTTACTGGCACAGATCGCACTACTTGTAATGTGGTTTTACAATACGATGGTATCTCTACTAACTCGACACTGAACAAAATCAACTAGCAGCCTTTATATGGAATACGTATAATGCGGGTTTGAGGTCTTGCATAAACTCTTATTCGGTTTAGCTAGCAATTCATTTGTTTTGGTACGCAGATATATACAGGGTGGGCAGCCCAATCCGGTATTTGGTTTAATTTTCATTGTCGATATAGATTATTTGGAAACTAGAATTAAAGAAAGTGGAAATGATGAGGAAATGTACAATTCGTTTTGAAATAAGTTTCACAGTTGGAGAGCATTCTAATTGACAGAAATCTCCAGCTTACAGTCCATCCTTCTGCTTTCTCATTCCTGTTACGTCACACGAAGTGAAAGAACCTGTAAAATTTTCGAAAAACTTCCCGTGTCTCGTCTTTTTAAAGGCAAAATCGTTTTATTGCCAAAGCTATTGTTGACAACCTAATTGGCTTTTCTCCTTATGAACCACAAATATCAATGATAATCGAGGCTCCCAAAGGCGGTCGTTACAAAGTCGAACAAGGTAGGTAGGTCTGTAGTTATTCTGGGACGATCCCCCAGTTCTTTTCCCGAACAAAAGTTTTCTCGTGTGCTTTCCCAGGTCATTTTCACTTTGTACTCTTTGTGGTTCATCTCGACCTATTGCAGTATCATACATTTTGGAACACCCACAGCTGGTTCGTAGCCCAAATATGGAACTTTTGTTCCGTGTCTAGCACACTGAATTTTCAATATATATCCATTTCCTTCAGATACCTTTCCTTTTCTGATCACTGTGAAAATAAATTGTATACTCATATATACACTTTCATGAACATGGTCTGCAGGTTTTTATGCCTGACGTTTCGTCTACTACTGCGGAAGACATTGTCAAAGACGCTGTAACTACGATGTTAGTACATATTCCACTCTGGTTTTATATTATTATGGGGACACCTAATGCATCATAATGTACAAAATAGAAATCGTAATACACAGAAATTTACTCCATCATAACGTCAAACAATAGAAATCGCAATTGATCATATTGTACAAGATAGAAACGTACAGCGGCATAATGTACAGGATCAACGAGGTCTTATCTTTTATCGTGTGAGTAGAGTAGAGTAGTCAGCAGGTATAACAAACACAACAGACAAAAAAGTATAAGCACCTGAAGGCTGACTTTTGACCAACAAGAGGTCAGATGTCAATCGTGCTGAAGTGCCCAGCAGCAAGTTGAGGTCCACTCAGAAATGAGTGGGGAAAGATGGGATGAGAGTCTTGCTTCTGCACACAGAAACAGTGTGGGGGCATGGGGGAGCATCGTGATTAATGCGTTCGGGAGCACCAACTCGAGCATTTTAAACGTTACCTCATCTTTTTGATAAAGTCCTCCGCAGTAGTAGACGAAACGTCAGGCATGAAAACCAGCAGACCATGGCCAAAAAACCAACCAGGAAAATAGTTTTCACACTGTTTATATGGAGTTTGTTTTCCATGTGATATTATTAGTATCATGTCTGTTTATCTCTGGGAATGAAATGGATATTTTTCCAAAGAATGTAACTATCCAAAGACCCTGACAGTACCGGAAAATCGTTATGGAAATCCCCTTCACATCTCTTGAAATAAATAAATTATGTTACTGGTAAATTAACTTCTCAATTGAAATAATAGCCTGTTTACCTGTATTTGGCACGAATTGTGAATAACTGGCTGTGTAATTGTAGATATCAGATCTCCGTAATCGCTCAATTATATAAAAGTTCAGACGCAATTAAACCCAACCGAATGACTCATGATATCCACTTCCATACAGGGTGAGAAGTCTGATATGTCGCAGTTTTTATTGAGTCGAATAGAAAACACTCATCAAATGGGAGAAGGGGAACAGTATGTCATTATTGATACTAAAAAAATTCTTCCACAGTGAATAAATGCGAATAAGTCATCTATGGCAACGACAGACTAGATCCTCGAATATCAAAGATATAAAGGTAGCTCCCCAGGGCGGTTAGTCGCGAAGCCAGGCTTCCACATCGACTGCCGATCGAAATTCGTTTTCTGTCTTCCACTGCGAAGCAACTAGATGTACTCCATCCAAAACCAAGCAGCGCTGTTTCGAAGCACCAAGATCTCATCAGTGGTGCTAGGCTTAACCACTCAACTGTCCTGAGAATTAGCCTGGAAGTAGGGGGTATCCGCCTTGGCAGTGGCTTTTCTTTGATTTTTTTCAGTCAGTCGGTAGTTTTCGAATGATTCCGAAAAGAAGTCAATGTTTTGCAATATCTCCTGTACTATCGCAGTTAGTGAGAAAGTCTATAGAACCTCTTCTTGTAGAACTCATCATTGTTCATGACTTTATATTAAATTTTTTGTATATCTTCAGATATCCAGTCAGAAGATTTTCAGAATTTTCCAATTCTCTTCAAAATCAACTTACTGATCACTCTACAAAACATGGTAAATGGTACATTTTCACGGAGTCGCAAACGAATTGAATGCCATATATGTATTTGTTTGTTGTCAAATATTTATAGTGCGTTTTCTCTTAAAAAAATCACAAAGCTACATAAAAAGTCTGTCTTGATAACGAACTGAAATAGAAGAATAAAAAGAGTAAATAACGACCCAAACAATTAGAATTAGAGTGGCTGCATAAGTGACATGCTCATTTTGGACACATTTTTTTCTAGTCATACGGCCAAATGTCAGCTAAATCGGTCAAGCCGTTCTTGAGTTTTAGTGAGACTAACAAACGTCATTTCATTTTAAATATTTGTATATTCACAGTAAATATATACTTTGTATATTTACTGTGTTAAAAAAGCATTCTGGGTAGGGCCGTAGCGAAAAGAAAAACCAGGAGGGAGGGAATCCAAATTTTCCCAACCCCACCAGCAAAATTTCCCAACTTTCGAAAAAATAAAAGCCGAGGGATTATTTACTACTATAATATATTAATTTTCTTACTTAGCTATCCAAAGATTGGCTGAATGCTTATGCCCGTTAGCGTATGCACAAACAAAAATAAATTTTGGTAATTATAAGAGTAATAATGGAAATTATTCTACTTTGGACCAGGGTCCTTTGTCATCCACCATATCCACCATGTTTCCATCCACCATGTATAGGAATATTCAATACAAATGAAAGGAAACAACACTTAAATAATATTGTGCTTATTGTTTTCTACTATTATTTTTTCTATCTTCACGGCCCGTAATTTCCCAACTTTTCCATGTCGAGAAATCAAACTTTTAGAAGTTTTCAAACAACTCAGAATTTCAAAGTGTGTTTCTTTCCTTTTTCTTATTACCTTTCCCTTTCTTTTCTCTCATTTTCATTTTTTTATTTCATTAATTTTTTTACTATTTTTTTTCCTATCTTCACGGCCCAAAATTTCCCAACTTTTTTCCAAGTCGAAAAAGCAGGGGGAGGCTCCCTCCCATCCCCCCATGGCTACGGCCCTGCATACGACTAAATCGGTCAAACCTTTCTCGGGTTTTAGTGAGACAAACAAACGCCATTTCATTCTAAATATTTGTATATTCTCAGTAAATATACTATATATTGTGTTAAAAAAGCATTCTGGGCCATTAATGCTATATTAATTTGTTTTTGGGGATTGTATACATTGTAACTTGAATACAGATTTTAATTAAATATTTTCAACAGCCGAAATAGCTCAGTTGGGAGAGCGTTAGACTGAAGATCTAAAGGTCCCTGGTTCGATCCCGGGTTTCGGCATTTTTTTTTATTTGAACACCATATGAATAATTAAAAAATTGGTTTATTTATTAAATTATGAATTATGATAAAACGTTCAACTTGAGAATTTAGTACTGACAATTCAAAGAGAATTGAAGTTTAGTTGATGTGTGTTCGTTCCGAAGATTTTAGCCTCGAAGATGAGCCACGAATTGGTTGACATACAGCACGAGAATTCCCAAACTTTTGACCGAAGTGGTCAGCAGTTGGTGTGATACAAATTTCTGCAATCGGGCCCATTGTGATGAAATGTACCGTAAATTGTGGCCTTGGTCAAAAGAAAAGGACCGATCCTGGTCCAAGACAATGCCTGTCAGCTCGTTTCACAAATTACCGTCCAAAAATTGAACGAATTTTACGTCGAAGTTCTACCTTATCCACTATACTCATCTGACCTCTCGTCAACCCACTACCATCTTTTCAGGCACCTCGATAACCTTCTCACCGGTAAAACCTTCGCCAATCAGAACGGAACTAATCGACTTGTGTTAATGTTGGGAGAACACTGATTCAAATTCCGCTTACATGGATTCAATTATTTAGTTCTCCACTGAGATATTACAGTTTTCAATTGGACAAAACTCTTGAGACAACCTAAGTAAAGACTCTTGTACTTTTGGTCGAACAAGAAAGAACGTGAACATTCCAAAAAGTCTGGATCAATCTGTAAATTGTAGGGGGGTGATTGTTACTGAGAGGGATATATTAACAAAGAACTAGCCCCAATAGTGAACTCTGTGACACTTTACACTCCAATATATATCTCTACAACTTTAATAAGCAGGTAAATTCTTTTCAGTGTAAAGTGACGTCAAATCCATTTCCGAAAATTGTTTTTCAAAATCACAAGGATGAACCTAACAAAGGTACAAGCGAGAACTATATGATCTTCAAAGTGAGCAGATTCAACAAAACGTATCTCTTCGAGCGTGAATGCAAAAAAGTTTTCTTATACTTTAATTACTGCTCATTCGTAATTAATTATTAAATACTCGCGGAAAACTGTGGAAGTACACGTAATCGATAAAATACATGGAAAATTAACGAGAAACAACGTTATATTATAGTCTTTTCTGTTTCATTACAGAACGAGCAGTTTTTCCACCAAATTATAGACAGTTTATTGAAATTTCTGTCGTCAACATAAATAATTTAATATCCGTAATAAATTGTACTCGTTACTGCTGCTACTATGGTTTTGTTCTTGATAAACAATACGAAATGTTTTAGTGCTTCACTTGTTGATTTCGGAGAAAGAACTCTAACTGGTTAATCCCTGAATTGATTACAGAAGTGGCAGTTGACTCGTAATCGACACACTGAGAATGTGTATATTGTTCTTCTTTGTTCTTCTTTCTACCCATATTCATGTGATTCACCATCAATCAGTTTTACAATCAAGGTAAGAAGCTATAAATTTTGATATTGTATGTGTGTGTATGTTCCGTGTCTCATTAAAATACTTCCAAGGTGGAAGGGAAATAGAAGAAATGATGAGATGTGGAATCGAAGTATACGAATTGTACGATTGCTGCCGAATATTAGACTTCCATTATCTAGAATCATTATGAAATTGAAAACCTCATAACACCTGGGCCGAAAAGTCCTGGGCCTATGAAAAAAAATGCCTTTTTTTGTGTTTAAAATTGGCTTCATCATTTCCCGTCAAGAAACAGTGTAAAATTAAAACACGAAATTGTTTTTGATCCATCGGTAAGGTTAAGAGGACTCCCATACAAACATTACATTCAGTAAAGTCACTATGAACAAAATTAACAGATCATGAAAGTGAAAGCACCTAAAGGCTGACTTTCGACCGCAGGAGGTCAAATGTCAATCAGACCATCACACTGACAGATCCAAAAGACAACAACGTTCGCCACAAAGCTTTCCTTCCCTACATTAAAGGTGTGACTGACAAAATTGTCCAAATTCTCAAAAAAACAAGACACAATAACGACATTCACCGCCAATAATCAAATTTTCACATTTCTCCGTTACCCCACAACAAAATTGTCAATGAATCCCAGGGTATATATGAAATTCCATCTGCCATTGCGATAGAACATATATAGGCCAGACCAATAGACGTGTGACAAGTAGTATATAGGAACATCAACATGCTGTCCGAAAGTCAGACCCATCCTCAGTCCTGTCCAAACATCATCAAGAGACAGGACACAACATAAACTTTGCAAACACTAAGACCATCACCTATCGACACCTCAGTTCAATCTAAGGGGTAGGTAGATTGAGGCTTTGGAGAGAACTCATGATGAGACCTGGGAAGTAGACAGATTGAGGCCCCGGCATCAAAACACTTCAAATTCTTGAAAATGGCTCCAAAATTGGAGCCGAAACGTCGAATACAGAACTCCAGACGCGGCTCAACCCGAACTCAACAACGTATTCAGAATGTATTCGTGGTGAGGGGGAGAAAGATTTCCAATATCGAATACATAATTCACATTCAACATATTAAATGATAACAGAGTGAGGGGCAAAGTATATGACAGATGACATTGTCCAATTTTTTTCAAGTAACACAAACATTTGTTTGATATACTTTCTACGGTTTTATCGATATCCTGAACGGCACAGCTCCCCCCCTGCAGCTCTTATTGTATATATTCCAGGAAAAAAGCACAATTTAATCTGAATTTTTTTCTATTTCGTCCCTCAAAACAAATAACTTTCTATTAACAATGACCCCTCATCAAGTAGTTAATGAGCAGGCAACTTATCTCGCATTCATGTCAAGGTAAAAACTGGGGCTATACATAATTGACGAGGAAGAACAACAACGGGAAAATCATGAAAACTTTCGATCGCCTTAAAATTGAAAGAAAATTATTCGTACTTCAGTGAAGGTGTTTGTAGAAAATCGATTATGTAGTGGATTGCTACGTTTATTTGAGAAGTAAGTTGAATACTTTCATTTTCAGTATCGATAGCGTGCGATGGAAAAATCTCAAGTCTTGAGAAAAATGCATGCTGATAGGGAAAGTTTTTCTGTCAAAAAATTGCCAATAGCACTGATTGATTTTTGAATATTTTCCCAAAAGTATCATATTCGTTTTAGTCTCACTTTTTATGGAACGATGAAACGGAAAGAAAATACAATATTTTGGGTTTTTTGCGACAACTCAACAATGAACTATACTGAATATGACCCCTTGGTGAGCCTCATGCTACATATTCTGTTTGGCCCCAAAACAGTTGGAGAAATCCTTCTTTGGTTTTCTGATGACCTAACCCCTTGGTTAGGAAAACTTCCAGCAATTTCGATGCTAAATTCTAATTGGTCCAATGTACTGAAGCAGTCCAGGTAGGGCAGCAGAAAAACAAAAAATTATCGCTTTGAAATCATTCTGTTGCAACTGCTAATGAAATAATGGAAGTCTAGTGGAAACAATAACAACTTATTCAAACAATTGTATAGATAAGGTGAATGACAATACCTCCTTTTATAACAGACTCTAGGAAGATGTATTGGCTCTCGAAATCTATAACCTTCCTTTTTGGATTCGAAATGGTAGGTCGATTTTACAGCTACCTTCTATTTCTTTCAGGTCTGTATGTTTCTCTCCATCTTTCTTTTATGACAGCAATACCAAAACTCCTGTTTCCCAAACTAGCTTTTACAGACCCTCTTGTAAATAATCGTCATCTTCTGGAATAGCTTTAAAACTACCACTCCACTTGCCATCTGCCAATCCCTTCCAGAAGTCCTTTTGATGGCTTCCAGTTTTGAACCTAACCAAGATGGTGATAGAGAAGTGTACCCAGTATGCTTTCCTGTTCATATGTACTTCCAAGTATTTGATTCATATTAATCATTGAGACCTGAGGTCCCTTCGAGGGTAACTTATAGAAACTAGTACATAGAGATTTGTGGAACCTCCCTTTATATAAGTATCTTTTATATTCAGTCTGATCTTTGTTGTGTTCAGTTTGGAAACCTTTATTAGTCTTTCCTTATTCTTGCCTCTTACAATTTTATCCATGTCAAATCTTAATTTCAGCAAGTTTCTTAGTCTGTCAGTTTGTTTTTCGTAATATTGGTTTCCTCAAATCCTCCTTCACTGGTCTTTTTTTGTTTGACCGCCTTCGAATCCCTGGCACAGAAGTTGCCTAATGCGATATAGGGTAATTTTACATGACCTTAGAATCCATGATATCTGTTGTAAAAAAACTCCATTGGAGTTTTTCGCACAAGAGTACTAGCAGTGGAAATCTACACTAGTTTGGAAATAATCTTTCCTATGCTAAACTTCCACAGCTGACATAGAATTGGTGGTAGTTGTTTGAAAAATATCACTGTATCAGAAAGTGCAGAATCTATGAAGCATATGTTTCAAGTTTGAAGACGCTGCGTTGTTTAGTACTTGTTTGGCAGATATCAATAGCAAACGTTTTCTGGGCTTTTGTGAAAATGGAGAAAATTGGTTATCGTTATGCGTTACAATACTTTTATTTGAGATGCCTCATCCCAACCAATATAAAACCTGAACTGGATTCTACTCTGGGTGAGTCTGTTCCTTCGTTTACAACAGTCTACAAATCTATTATTGCAATGACCAAAATTAATGTGTTGACGTTTGAATTGTTACCTCATGCACCCTATTTGCTAGATTCAGCCCCCTCGGAATATTTTCTTTTCCCAAACTTGAGAAAAGGCTCAGCGGTCAAAGATTTTTCAACGATGAAGAAGTGATATCAACAGTTATTGGCTATTTTGAGTGGCAAGACAGTTCTTATTATAAAAAAAGTATTGAACTTATTCAGTGTCGTTATTTTTCGAGTTTGAAAGCCGTGGATTTTTGGATTTTCTTCCTGACGTTTCGCTAGCGCGAGTGGCTAGCTTCTTCAGAGGTTTAACCATCATGACTACCTTTTAGGCTTCGTAAAGCGTATTTATGCCTTGTCAGGTTTACCGTTGTATCTGTACCTGTATTTGTACCTGTACTCGTACCTGCTGTTGTACCTGTAGTCGTACCTGCACTTGAACCTGGAACATTAACACTCTCGCTGCTTGTTGTCCTGTTCGTTATTCTCGAATTCCTTAAAATGGGATTCCATATTCCATTGTGGTTCACCGCTTATGTTTTCTTTGTTGGACCCCGTACTTCTGGGATTACCCTCGTATTTTATTCATATTAATTGACCTGTCCCAGTGGATGAACTACACTTCCAAAGTCTCAAGGTTTTCGACCTCACCCAGCTAAGTAATCAGATATTTTGTCACACCCCGGTTGGTAAGCAGATTATTAAGTGTTACTATATTCTGTTAACATCGAGAAATTTAAATTGAATCGAGTTGACTTCTTGATAACATCAAAACTCTTCAGAATCTTGTGTCAACAAACTCTTCCAAATGGATTCAGACCGGTTAGTGGTAACTAATTTTTGTTTTTGTAAGAATGTTCGCAGAATTATGAAGAGAGTATTCCAAGTATTCAGTTACAGTATTCAGTTACAAGTGTTTTTTCAGAGAAATTGATCTGACTTGAGATTTAAGAGGAATAAACTGACTTATCGTGGACAAGTGTCTGATGACATTTTTGTTGATGTAAAATTCTCAGTATATCGTAATTTGAGACATTAATTGAAATCAGATCAACTTAACTTTTTTCAATCACACAAAATATTCTTTTTGTTAAAAAAATTGTACAAACCTCACGGACGCCGTATTGATTTTTTAGAAATAGTTAGCAGGATTGTTTCAGCATGTTGCATTTGTTAATATTCTTTTAGCAAATATAATATTATAACACTAAAATATATATTATATTTGCTGCTACCAAAGTAACCCACTCTAATGAGTTCACCATTTCTGCAATGAAATAAACTTTGAACCTTAAGTTTTGCAATATTCTTCCGTGAAATCGAATTCCCATAATTTTACAATGCTCGTTCAATTCTTGATAAACCAAATCCGCTTTTTACAGATAAGGAAAACAAATGAGATAAAGAAGATAAAATTCAGCACAGTTATTGGCGATAGACAGTTATGTGATTGACTTGCTAGTATTGAGGTGAGCAGAACATCTTCATCGATTTTTCGATATATCTCTCGGGAAAGGTTTATTTCGGTATGTTTATGATTGAATTCGAACGCATCAATAATTCAATTAACTGATTATCAAATCTCATAATAGTTTTCATATGATTTTCGCTTATTAATCACTCAAATACCTACTAAAAGTGATATCATACGAGTATGGTCTCTAAAGCAAGTTGTGGGGGATTGACGGATTTGACCAACATAGTTTTTATCATAGAAACTAATATCATAAACTCTCGAAAGTAATTATTCCATCATAAATTCTTCAAAACAACTTATTCACCAATCGTGTTATGATAGCAATTTTATGGTCAGTTTTCTACAGTTCAATAAAATAAAACTAGAACCATTATACATAAAATAAGGGATGAGCGGTAATTCCAAAGTGAAAATTACACATTCAGAATTTAAATCCTCCAAAATATTTTTCAGTGATTTGTCGTGATGGAAAGCAGAATATGGATATTATTGGCTATGATTTCTACGTGTCTTGGAAGTGTTTTCATTGATCAGATAACGCCAGAAGTGATTGAACCACTCAAATTCGAACTCAATGCTACGTACCAAGTTGTCCTCAGTTATATAGATATTCCTCAGCTTCAGGTGAGTGAAGTGGTATAACTAAATAGGTTTAAGAAGAAAATATTTTTTCCATGAGCTGGAGCTAGAACTTCTTGTAATAAAAAAAGGTTCAGTAATTACGCCCTTTCAAAAATAGCTGCACTTACAGAGTTGACTGACATGATTATGATTATGATTGTGATTGTGATTGTGATTATAATTATGATTGTGATGTGATTATGGTTGTGATTATCATTATTATTATGATTATGATTACGATTATGATTGTGACTATGATTGTTATTGTGATTACGATTACATAGCCATTACGATTATGATTATGATTACTATTACGATTACTATTACGATTACGATTACGATTATAATTATGATTGTGATTGTGATTGTGATTAAGACTATGGCTATGATAAGACTATGATTAAGACTATGACTATGATTGAGACTATGACTATGATTAAGACTATGTTAAGACTATGACTATGATTAAGACTATGACTATGACTATGTAGATTATGATTATGATTGAAACGGACAAAACGTACGAAACAGTTTTTTATGTTCCATGGCTTTCTACAAAGAACCTAATCTTTTCTCAATATATTCCCTTCTAAAATTGATTTTGGTTCCTAATTTCAGACGGCGAATCCATTTAGAATCAAAACATGGACAACCAGCGACACAAAAACGCCTCTACCAATTCTTGTTGTTGTCCAGCAAAAAAGTCAAGTGTCAGCCTGGTCTCTACCTTTGGTGGTGGAAACTTCGATATTGGGAAAATCAACTGAATTTGTCAAAGCTTCAGAAACCTTGTGTCACGATTTTATGAGAAATATTATTAATGGTAAGTGAAACAGGACAACCACATGTAATGTAAAAACTGCTGCTGCATTGGAAATTTCGTAAGGTATATTTTCGAATACACTATCGCTTCTGCTTTCCACAGTTTACTGTGTTGAGATTTAAGAATGGGACTGGTTATGCTTGAAGATGCTGTAACGCTGGAGCTAGCTGTTGAGATTATTCTTCAGCAATAGCCTTTTTATAAGAAATATATTGATCGATGTAACCCTCAGCTACTGTTGTAGACTTCCATTCTCCGTGCTTCTTAATATCCGTTGTATTTGCTCCTGATTCTGCTAATAAAGAAGCAGAAGACCTTCTGAAACAGTGACCTGTATATTCCTTTGCGGTGATTTGAAAATCTTGGGCATGTTGCTCGGACAACAATCTGGGTTTACTAAATTCCCTTGCTTTTTGTGTCTGTGGGATTATAAAAACCGAGAAAATCCCTCTCCAAGGGAGCTGAACGTTGGCGAAAAGAACCTTCTGCATGAAACTTCGGTGCCTCAGCATAAAGTTCTTTTACCACCGCTCCACATAAATTAGGATTGATGAAGCAATTTGTAAAGTTTCCAGGCCTCTCAGAGGATCATCAAAGAGAAGGGTGGATTGCCTTCAAGAAGGTCATAGAGATATTTGTAGGCAATAAAAAGGCTCTAACCACAAACAAATCGTCAAAAGTATGTCAAAAGCATTTCAAGCTTTAGGTTGCCTAATGTGTTAAGTACATTTTCTTCATTTCCACCTCGACTACATCCCAGAAAATTTAGGAGATATGAGTGAAGAGCAAGTTGAGCGATTCCACCAAGATTTCAAGGAGATGGAAAAAAGATACCAGGGAAGATCCTTCAAAAAAAAATGTACCAAAAGGAATCTTACTGGGGAAAAGAAATGTGTTAAGTGCTTATTGTTGAATGAATTTCAGATAAAACATAAGTTTTGTTACGTAATTATAAATATAATTTTTTTCAGTCTTTAATCTTCTATTTCAAGATGACAACATAGATACCAACATTGACAAAATGACAGAATGAAAGTCATATTCAAATTCAGCGCACTCAAATTAATGATTACACAAAAAACAAAACAGCTCTCATAATTTTTTTGCAGACTTGTGTAGATAATGTGATGTTTTTTTATTTTAGATTTCGACATAGAACCACTAGAAGTGTCCCAGTGTTTCATAATCTCCCTGTCTACGTCTTCACCGCAAAACGTGACCATCCACTTGGAACTAGAGGAGGAGAAGAATTTTTACGTGAATCTCGGCCATAAATATTCTTTGCTCGTTTCTCCCAGTGAACCCCGATATGTTTTTTACAAATTCAATGAAAACACCAGCGACACGATTGTCATCGAGGTGGATTCTGAAGATGATGTGTGTCTTATAGTGTCTGTGCAAGACAGTAGGGTGAGTATGATCGATTTTGTGCGTTTTATAAGGGGATGGTTCTATTTTTGGGGGTGGCGGTATTTGTGGATATTGCAGAGTTGAGTGTTCAGCATACAGAGTGGTCCATAAAATGTTCGCAATAAAACAGAAACACTTCAAGGTGGTTGATAATGTTTCGTGGTGTATTTCATCAGTTCGGACTTCCATTGTCTAATATAATATAAATTGATTTGACAACCCTGAAAAAAATTAAACAGATTAACCAAAAATAACAATTTTACGCAGCCGAAATAGCTCAGTTGGGAAAGTGCTAGACTGAAGATTTAAAGGTCCCTGGTTCGTTCCCGGGTTTCGGCATTTTTTAAACAGTGGTGCCCCTCAAGGAAGCAATTTAGCACCTCTTTTATTCTCACTCTTCATTAACGACATAGGAAATACTCTCTCTAGCAATTTCTTACTCTTTGCAGATGATTTGAAAATCTTTCGACCCATTACATCACAGGAGGACTGCTTAATTGTATAAAAAGACCTTGACTTTTTGTACAATTGGTGTACCGAAAATAATCTTCCCCTCAATACAAACAAATGTGAATACTCAAAATACACCCTTAAACATAATGTTATTTCTCATGATTACTGCATAAATAACACCAAATAAGCACTCATCAAACGGATCTTGGTGTCACATTTGACCTCAATCTGAGTTTCTCCATTCACTGTGACACAATAACATGCTCAGTCAAACGAATGCTAGGGCTCATTTATCGTAACTGGTTGTGGCGGCTTCTCTTCCTTGTGGAGTTCTTGCTGTCTTCTATAGCTAAGGCCTGTTCTACTCCGTTGAAGGTCATTTTTGATGATGCCTACTTCCTTTTCGAGACCTTCTTTTGTATTACAGAGCCCAAAAGCACGGTCTAGTAGATTCTTGATGATTCCTCTCTTAGTCCATTGATGGTGATTGAATTTCTGGTTCAGATACTGTCCTGTGTGAGTGGGTTTTCGATATACAGATGTTTCCCATTTAATGTCGGTCCTCTTCACCAATACCACCTCTTCACCTATGATTTGAAGTGCTTCTTCGACAGGAACGTTGGTGTAGAGGCTTTCCACGTCGAAACTGATCAGTTGATTTGGCTCTTTGACTTCGATTTCTCCTAGTAGTTCAACAAAATGCCTTGAATTTTTCACAAAAGATGATGTTTTATCTTGCAGTGGTTGGTAGTAAAAATCTGGACAAGTTCCGAGTGGCTGAATCTCTGGAGCTAATGGTCGGTCTAAGCGGAACATCCTTTTTGTGGGTTTTAGCTAGTCCATACAAGTGACTACCTAAAACCGCCCCACTTACTGTGGTGCGGTATTAGCGATGATCTCTCTTTTTCCGTAAATCTCTCTTGGTGTTTTTCAAAGTCTGGTACAACTTCCTTTCAATTGATGCAGTAGGGTCTCTTAACGATCTTCGTGTATCTTCGTGTATGAAATTGTTATTTTTAGTTAATCTTTTTAATTTTTTCAGGGCTACCAAATCAATTTATATTATATTAGACAATAGAAGTCCGAACTAATGAAAGAAACACATCAAGTTAACCTCAAAATCAATGTAAAACTTTCGACCCTCAGTGAAGGTACTTTGCCGTTTCTAGGACCAAATCTCATTCTTTTTCTTATGGTGCTTCATTTCAGTCATTTTGGGACCTCCGAACGGAGCTTTGTGAGACACTCAAACTTATTTATGATACAGAGGTACGTCGGTCAGCCAAGACTCGTCACTAAGAAATTCCGATAATCCACGGCCTTTAAACTCGGAAAGTAGTAACACAGATCCCTCGGCCTGATGCTGGCCTAAATATTGGTTTCACGTCGTGCTATCTCTCTCTCTCTCAACCAACGTTTTAATCACCCCACTCTTTTGTTGTGGCTGGTGTAAGAGTTTTTGTTCAGAAAGAATTTATACAAACACTCAACCAGTTTCATGGAAACTTACTCTAAAACATGTCTGATGTATTAATTGAGAGCATTTTCTTCAATTTCAGTGTCCAGTAATGGATATGAACAAGGATATCAAGTATGAGGGCACTTACCAAACCGTCAACTTGAAAGGGGCCATAACTGTACCTGTAAGTATAGAATTTTTCAAAATTCACCTACGAAACGATGAGAATTATTGCTTTCATCATCTTCTAGTTTGAAACCCAAGTGTGGGTTAACACTTTAGAGATATACGAAGGCTTTCTAGACTATTCACTGAATTATCTTTCACAGAAAAGGAACTTCAATGAGGGTTTTTTCTTGGTCTTTGTTGCCAGGCCGGATAACTTCGATTGCAGCGAAGAAAGCTCTCTCCTTCCCAGGATAATGAGTACACCTGTCACCGATATGAAAACCACCTCCAATGTTACTTTTACAGTCAGGAATGGTATCAACGTTAAGCAGTATAGAATAGGTGTATTTGCTACACTAGGAACCCTCGTAGTAGTAGGACTTTTATGCATAATACTCAACATCGCTTTCAATCGATTCGGGACAATTTCCAAAACTGATAGAAAGACGGGTGAGTTTCTATAGCTAGAAAATGTCGAGGAAATAAATCATTTAGCGAATTGGAAAGGTGATTTGCTGTTGATTGGCCCTGCATTTATAGCAGCATCCATCTATTTGCATTGAAAAATGTTGGATTGTATGTTTCTCTATTTCTATCTTCATCTACACTTCCGTAATCCATCTTTCTCTGTTTCCAGAAACGGATGCTCCAGATGGCTTCCCCGCTTTCAGGAGAAGCGAACAAATTGCCAGATTATTGAGCAACGGCAGTCTGACCGTAGCCGATTTCTCAACAGACCCGAAACGAATAAAGAGAAGGTCATTCAACTACCTTTCTCATACTCTGAGCGTCGCAATTTTCTACAGCATTCCCGTAGTCCAGTTGGTGGTCACTTATCAAAGGGTAAGTTTGATGAGAAATTTGAAAACAAATTTCAAATTACATGCCTGTTGATATTGTTCACTACAAAGCAAATAAAGGACCAGCTCCTAAGAACATAGATGCCTTGAACAGAATCAATCCCTCCTGACTGTAAAATTGCACTTTTGTTCATCAAACAGAAATCATTCACCCTTGTTTCGCATCTAGCTAGTTTTCTGTACAAACTCAACTGTACAGACTAACTTTCTGAGTTTCCTTCCTTCTCATGGGTACAGAAGAGCCAATTTCAAGAGGACGACACACCCAGGAAAGATAATGCTAAGATAACAACAGTTAGGCTCGTCAATAGAAAAACTGTTCTGTCCTATGTTTATAACATCACGGATCGGATCGAAGATAATACAAGGTCATTGGAAGACCCCTGAGCGCCTTTGGTAACACCTTTTGGCAACACCGGATATTTACCAGCTCTCCTGTAGCTGTGAATATATATGCATTGGAACCACGAAAAGAAGCGTAAGTACCTGGCAATCCGAAATGTATCTCCCTCGGATTATTTTCTGTTCCTGAACTCGAAAAAATAGCTCAGTGGTCAAAGATTTCCCAACGATGAAGAAGTGATGGCGGCAGTTGATGAGTATGTTGAGGAGCAAGACACTTCTTATTATAAAAACAGTATTGAACTCATTGAACGTCGTTGGGAAAAGTTTATAAAGCTGCAAGGGGATTGTGTTGGAAAATAAATAAATTTTTTCCAAGATTTCTGTGTTTTCTTTGATGGGGCGGGTATTGCTGGGACCCCTTCTGGAATAGACCCAATCACCTTGAAGTGACCTTATAGAGTCTGTTGATTTTCAGATCGTGAACAAAACGGGAAATGAAGATATGTGCTACTACAACTTTCTATGCGCTCATCCAGCTTTTGGTTTCAGTGATTTCAATCACATTTATTCTAATATTGGATACATCGTCTTTGGAATTATTTTCATCTTTGCCGTGGTGGACAGGCATTCAGTGATAAAATTGAGAGTGGTAAGTAAATTCTAGCTACGGCTCAGAAAGAACATGAAAGTACAATTGAACGGTGACACACAAGTTCATTTTTTTCTCAGGATAGAGGAATTGCTGTCCACTACGGTTTGTTTCACGCCATGGGCCTTGCTTTGATCATAGAAGGAGTCTTATCTGCTTGCTACCATATCTGTCCAAGTCAGTCTAGCTACCAATTCGGTAAGTACCACAAGAATTAACAATCTGATTCAGTTCTGAGCAGTGAAGTAATTCATTGACCGGAGATTGGACAACAAAGCTGAACTGACAGTTCATCCTGAGATAGTTCATTGAACTTTGAAATCATTTATCGACCAAAGATTGAACAATAAAGCTGATCTGAACTTTATGCTATGATAGTTAATTGAACATCGATATAATTTTTTGACCAAGTATCAAATTAGATAGCTAAACTGTTAGTTTATGCTGAGATATTTCATTAAACATTGAAATAATTCATTGACCAAGGATTGAACGAGAAAGCTAAACCGATAGTTTATGTTCAGATAGTTTATTGAACAATGAATTGAACACAACCAAAAATTGAATACAAAAGCTAAACCGATAGTTCATGCTGATATAGTTTATTGAGCATCCAAATAATTTTTTGGCCAAGGATTGAACAAGAAACCTGAATTGATATTTCATATTGAGATTCAGCATTGAAATAATTCATAAACCAAAAATTGAACAAGGAAGCTGAACTGATAGTTCATTGAAGATTGAAATGAGTCATTGACCATGAATTGAACAAGAAAGCGGAACTAATAGTTCATTGAACATTGAAATAATTTATTGACCAAGAATTGAACACAAAAGCTAAACCGATAGTTCATGCTGAGATAGTTTATTGAGCATCCAAATAATTTATTGGCCAAGGATTGAACAAGAAACCTGAATCGATATTCCATCCTGAGATTTAGCATTGAAATAATTCATTGACTGAGAATTGAACAAGAATGCTGAACTGAACTTTATGCTGAGATAGTTAATTGAACAATAATATAATTTATTGACCAAGGACCGAACTAGATAGCGAAACTGATAGTTTATGCTGATATATTTTATTGAACATTAATATAATTCATTGACCAAGGATTGAACGAGAAAGCTAAACCGATATTTTATGTCGAGATAGTTTATTGGATACTGAAAAAAAATGTATTGGCCAAGAATTGAATACAAAATCAATAAAGCTTTATCGATAGTTTTTGCTGAGATAGTTTATTGTACATTGAAATAATTTATTGACCAAGAATTGAACACAAAAGCTAAACCGATAGTTCATGCTGAGAGCATCCAAATAATTTATTGGCCAAGGATTGAACAGGAAACCTGAATTGATATTCCATCCCGAGATTTAGCATTGAAATAATTAATTGATCAAGAATTGAACAAGAAAGCTGAACTGATAGTTTATTGCAGATTGAAATGATTCATTGAACAAAGAATTGAACAAAAAACTATATTCATAGTTCATGCTGACATAGTTTATTGGGCATTGAAATAAATCATTGACCAAAGATTGATTAGAAAGATAAACTGATACTTCATGCTGGGATAGTTTATTGAACATTGAAATATTTATTGACAAAGGATTAAACAAAAAGTTATATTGACAGTTCATCCTGAGATAGTTTATTCGGCATTGAAATAATGTATTGGCCAAAAATTGATTCGAACTGATTCGATAGAATCTCATGAATCTTAAATTCATCGGTGTTAACTCAAATAGGGTTTCGAGAAACGATTGGAAACTTCTAATGCCGCAAAACTGTTACGTATAACAATCAGGGTGAACAACAGTGTACAAAAATAACTGACAACTCGTAACTTGAAAAATTACTCAAATTTTGATACATAGATTGAACCTGGGAATGTCTCATGCGGTAATAATGCTTTAACATTTTTTTCAGATACGAGTTTCATGTATGTGATGGCAGTTCTGTGCATGATAAAACTCTACCAGAACAGACACCCAGAAATAAATGCTACAGCATATACAACATTCACAGTGCTTGGTGGTGCAATTTTCTTAGGTGAGTATTGACACCTGTCACTGTAAACCTATAACTCAAAAATACCACTTTGTTATTACTCACAACGCCCATTTTGATTTTCCTTTCTTTTATCAAAAGTCTTATCGACATGAGATCGATTGACTTTTTTGAATTACTCATCTCATTGGTTTTTATTGATAAGTTATCTCATCTCATGTATCTTTTACAGCCATGTTGGGTATCCTCAATGCTAACATGTTCATCTGGATAATATTTTTTATCTGTTACGCAACACTTACTGTGATAGTTTCCTTGAAAATATATTTCCTGAATTTCGTGTTGGATGGGCTGACACAGTTCAAAAATAACGTTGAGAAGAAAGGATTTTGTACAGAAGCTCTTAAACCGATTCGAAAAAGTAACTGTCATCAAAATTATATGGTATAAATCAAATTTACCTTTTTTTTGTAATTTTAGCCAGGTTCATCGTGCTCTTGATTGCTAATGTAGTCAACTATGCCATGCTGATCACTGGGTTTTATCTGTACACAAAGGGTCTTACTGATTTTGGGACGTTTTTGCTGGGATTGTTGATGGGAAATGCAGTCATCCACACCATTTTCTACACTGTCATGAAAAAGGTAACCACATAAACAAATATATCGCAGCGAGATAGATCACTTCGACTATTGCCGCAGTACCAGGCGAAACGTCAGGTTTGAAAACCTGCACACCACGGCTAGTAAAGCCGAAAACATGTGATTATCTATTACATTTCACATCTAACGCATATTCTTTAGGAAAGTGCATATGTGTTGTATACAAATACTTGTATATATTATAAGTTCTCTTTGAATTGAAGGGGTTATATTTTTAGGAGTGATTAATTTGTGGGAAAGAAAGTTTTTGGCTTTCTACTACTCCATATTGATACAAAAAAAGGAAGGAAGTAATCAATCTGAAAATAAGTAACTCTATACATGGATGTGTAGATCATGCATAGAAGTAACTTTCAGACAGAAACTGGAAGAATGTCCTCCTGAAACAGCTACTTTCATATAAACATTAAATTACACAACAGAAAAAAAATCTTTCGAAACAAATACTCTTATGTGAACACTGAATTATACAGATGATACTTTTCTCTACTCAGTTTGTATTTCAAACATTCGTTGTTGAATAAAAATCAGATATCATTCACATGAGTTCTACTTTAAATGAATGGTAACAAATTTCACTTACACGGAACACTGTCATCCTCACTGTTATACATCGATGTTTCTTGCCTTAAGGCACTTCAGTACCAAATTGGATAACATCTCTTTTTTTTTGTATCAAAATGTAGTAGTGGAAAGCCAAAAACGTTCTTTTCCATAAATTCTCTTCTTCTTTAACAAACTCAAATCATCGAAAATAAAAAACGTAAATGATAATATGTATGATAAATTTGTATATAGGTACACATCAATGGGATTGGCACACTTACCACTGATTCTCTCAACTCATTTCAGGTGATACATAAAGAGAAGATCTGTTTTGAAGCTATAATATATGGAATCCTGAGTATTCTGTGTTGGGGAGCATCTGGATATTTCTTTCTTGATGCAGCGACTTTATGGACGGTAAGTCCAATGTTTTCGTCATTGATAGTAGTAGTTATATGATGGAACCGATCGATACTTGACAGAGACGATTTGATTGCCACTCTAGCAAAATATTTTCATAACCTCTATTGGTTGATAACGAAAGTTGATAACGAAATCTGATGAACGAAACGTCGCGTCTACGCGAAAAAAATATATCGAATCGAAATTTAAAGCATTCCACTTTGCTCGCATCCTGACATAGTTGCCCCTGGCAAATGTTTGGCTATAAATAACTACTTGCCTAGCTGATACCATGACGAATATTGGGTTGTATAAAAGTTTCCTTGCAGAGCGGAAAAAATCATTTCAGCCAATTTTTAACCGTTTTTACTGTTTTTTTTTTCAGGTAACTCCCGCAGAATCCCGCCAATGGAACCAAAAATGTATCCTCATCGACTTCTTCGACAGGCATGACGTGTGGCATCTTCTTAGCGCACCAGCGCTCTATTTCACTTTCATGTATCTGATGTGTCTCGATGACGACATCATTGATAAGTATCAAACAGAATTACCGGTCTTCTAGATAAGAAACCTATGAATCTCATAAAAGTTGGAAGATTAGTGACCAGTTACGATTATTGTTGTTACAACACGCGGGGGTGTGAATTTTATCGATTTTCTGGACTAACTGATTGTTAACGCCTTGGTTTTTTTCATCAATTGAATCCAGAAATATTTAGGACAGATTATTATTATTTTGGAGAGGAAACTTTTGGCTCTCCACTTTTCCATCTGTATATAAAAAATAAGCGAAACTCTCAAAGGAAGGAAGGAAACCATTCATTTCAAAATAAACTATTCATAAAAATGTGCAGATCAAGCATACAAATTACTTTTTTCGGGCTACACTTCAGAATTTCAAAGAGCCAGATAAAAATATTGCAATATTTTTTTTGTGCATCATTAGTTCGACTTCGATACTCTCATATGATAGAAATTGATTAGAAATACTTGAAAGAGTCTATGAAAAATTAGAAAGATAAGCTGAAAAAAAATAACAATTATACTAAGCAAAAAAACTGCAATTACAATGAAATAAAATACAAGCAACAATCGAAAAATCAAAGAATTGAACTATTTACACGAGATCTGACTATTTATAGATCATTCGAGTGCTTTCACCTATCCCCTCTTTCCGCTTCATCGGTTTTAGCGGGAGCTGGCCATTTGGCGGGAGTTGGTCGTGTTCCGCTTGATTACAGGTTTCCATATGTTGCGTATCTCTACGCTAGCTTGGCTAAATGCGTTATTGGACAACATATATGCGGCTTCTTTGAACGTCCCCCTAAACTTCCCCCCAAGACTTCTCTTCCTTGTGAAGCTCTTGCTGTCTTCTAGCTTAAGTCTGTTCCCCTATCACTTTGGAATAACCAATCCGTTAGAGGTCATTTTTGATAATGCCTAGTTCCTTCCTCTCTAAGTCGATTGATGATGGTTGGATTCGTGGTTCAGATACTGTCCCGTGAGAGTGGGTTTTTAGTGTACAGATGTTTCCCATTTAGTGTCGGTCCTCTTCACCAATACATCTGAGAATGGCAATTCGTTGTGGACTTCCTTTTCCATTGTGAAAGTGATGAAAAGTCTTACGTTGTTGATGTGCTTCAGGAAAGTGTCTAGTTCTGTATTCCCACGGTTCTACATTACGAGGGTGTCGTCAATGTATCTCAACCAGACTCGGGGCTTCTTGTGGGCTTCTTCAATGGCCAGAGTTTCAAACCACTCCATATATATGTTGGCTATGACTGATGAAAGTGGTGACCCAATTGTACTCCCCTACATCAGAGGATTTTCGGAAAGGATAAGAAGAATTGGATCCAAGTTTAACATCACAACCTGCTTCGGATCTGAGAACACTATCCGTAGCAGCCTCACGAAAACTAGGCCACCAAACGCGGATTGAGATTCCAAGAATTGCATTTACCGAATTCCCTGCGAGTGCGGAGAATCATACATCGGTGAAGCTAAGCCCGCGAAATTTGAACATTGACCTTATTTTTTTAGCAGATCTCTTATACCGCAGTTCTGGACTAAACGTCTGAAATAAAACTCGTGGAACACGGCCATCAAACTCGATAGTTTTGACTGTTATCTCCGTTCGTGAGGGTTTTATTTATATTCATTCATTTATCCCCAAGAAACTACAATGGCTTATGAAGGGAATTATTTATACAAGAAACATTCATACACAAATATATAACTTGAAAAAGACCTATTTCAGAATTGATCTAATCAATAACAAAAAAAAAACAAATATGTTTATATGACAGCTTAGATTCTTCGATCTATCCATATTTCAATGTATTTTAATTGACAGGAGATTACATAATTTACTTTTGTGACAATCAATTTTGTGATACTTTCTATACTTGAATAAAAAATCAAACCCATGTTGTTTTTACCATTCCTGAAGTTTTCCTTACCTATAATCAGTTTCTTTCAGACGAGGAATTTTTCCTTATCTATTATTTTACAATATATGTTATAGCTGTTATAGCAGTATATAAAACAATTTTCAGCTATATAAAAAATTAATTTCATAATATTGCATATATAAATTTATTTTTGGAATGTAAGGATTTACTGTAGCGCTTGTGTTTTATTCTTAGAGAAAAACTTTGAATTGTCGCCAGTGTTATATGGGATGATCCGCCATACTGGATGTAGACTCTGAAATTCTGTTGCAAAGACGTTTCGAAATCAGTTTAAAATGTGAAATTATTATGGATAGAATAAACAAACTATGAAATCATTGCTAATCACTTTAATGTATCATAATAATTCAACGCAAAGAACCCCCAAAGGAGAAAATGCTGCAGAAACTATTCCTATAAATGTTTGCATTATCAAATAAGAAGTTTCTTCATTCTCTGGAGCCAACCTGAAAAAAATTAAGAGGATAAGTAAAGTAAAAAATCAGCTTTTTCACGTCCAGATGTGGGAACTTTGTAAGAGTGGTATTTTTTTTTATTTATTTAGAAAAAACCGCATCAGCCGTAGCTATTAGCGGCTAACATATGAAATATATCTTTAAAAAATTCAACAATATTGTTGGTATTGGTATTTTGGAAAATTTCACTTAGCTTGGAGGGAATTTTTTATGCAAAACTCTCAAAATAGATGATTTACTTACATCATTGTCGGCGGCAAGTTCTCGAGTTGTCTTATGCGGATTTTCCTCAATCTCTAGAAGTACATCTAATTTTTTTCATCAGTAAATTGAACATTTCTACCTGGTTTTCCAATATTTTTTACATGTCCAGATTCACGAAACTTTTTGTCAATTTTGCTAACTGTAGACTGCTACACGTGTTGACCAGGGTATTTATTATTAAAAATTTCACAAACCTCCTTTTGAGTTCTTGTTTTATTACCACAACCAATCATAATTAAAATGTCTATTCTTTGAGTCATAATTAAATTCAATACGCCCACAAATATTATACTAAGGTCTTTTAGTAACTTTAAATACCTAAATGATAGCAGCCTACTAGATTCATATCAATTGTTTATTTGGTTTTTTGTCTAATATTTCAGTATCTTCAAAGATTTTTTCCAGGATTCAAGGTAAGTAAGGAGCGTGTTACGTTAATAGATCAGGTTATTGTCAAGAAGTGAATAATGGTGGTCATTTTGAACATTTAATTGTAAAAATTAATTTTCTCAGTTTTGATTGCACCAAACTTTGAAAACTTTATATTGCTGAACAGAGGACTAAAATCCCTTTCGAACAAGGTGCCACATGACCCCCTTTGCTATTTAAAATTTTCGTGGGGGTGCTTATAATTCAGAAGGGGTGCTGGAGGAAGATAATATTTTCATACTGTAAATTGTCAATTTAAGAGTAGAAATCGATCTGTTTCAGGTTTTTTTTTTTCACATGGCGATCACTAAGCCTAAAGAAAAGTGACTAAAGTCACTTCTAAGAGATGGAAATTGTTCCAAATACTCAGTTTCAGGGATCTCAGAGGCAAAGTTGAAGAAAGATGCACCAGATATAAGACGGCTCATGGCTGATCCACAATACAACACAATAATGACGGCTCCTCAAAGAGAATGGTAGGATTAATACCTGCCAGCGTAGTTCAAACAGAACTAGCCGGTATCTCAATCGCCATAAAATAAATAACCAGGCATGGTTATGACGCATGTCTATTCTCTCATTGTCATAATTGTAAGAAATCAAAACAATCTGTAGGTACATTACCTACACCTTTGATTTTCTCTGATTACACACGCCTGCAACGAAAAAGATGTCTGGATGTTTTCAACTGATTTCTTTGAATTAAGGTGTTCTGAAAACTAAAAAAAATACTCAAATTCCAGAACGCCAGGTTATTTTGCAAACCGCAAAGTTGTATTATTGGCCAACCAATTGTATTTTGGGCCAATTTGAAGTCATAAACAATTAGGTACAATTTTATTTTTATAATTACTCTCTGAATAAAGAACCCCCTCTGCTCTGTGCCCCTCTTTGCCCAAGAGGACGATTTGGTTTATTGCACCAATATTGAAGGTTTGATGGATACATTTAATATCTCATATGACCCAGCACAGTGGCGGTTTTTCATAGATGCTTCAAAAAGAAGCCCTGAAGGAGTTCTGCTTCACAATGGCGGTTTCTATGCCTCCATTTCTGTCAGGCTTTCTGTACACCTCAAAGAAATCTGCGGTGATTCAAAAATATTAGGCATGTTGTTCTGACAACAATCTGGGTTTAGCGAATTCCCTTGCTTTTTGTATCTGTGGGTTAGTAGAGACCGAGCAAATCACCGGATCAAAAAGAATTTGCCTTGTCCAAGGGAGCTTAACTGCATGAAGTTCTTCTAGCACCGCTTCACATAAAGCTGGGATTGATGAAGCTATTTGTAAAGTCACTTCTAAGAGATAGAAATTGTTCCAAATACTCAGTTCCAGGGATCTCAGAGGCAAAGTTGAAGAAAGATGCACCAGATATTAGACGGCTTATGGCTGATCCACAATACAACACAACAATGACGGATCCTTAAAGAGAATGGTAAATTACCTTCACAGAGGTCATAGAGGAATGTGTAGGCAATGAAAAGGAAGAAAAGTGGTAAAAAGCATAGAAAGTTTCATTTATCTTTTCTTCATTATGATATCCTGCCACGTAGTAACGACTACATCCATCAATTTAATGAAAAATAACCTTACTACAAATAAATTGTCAAAAGCATTTCAAGCTTTAGGTTGCCTGATGAGTTTGAAAGCACAATTTCTTCATTTCCATCTCGACTATTCTCCAGAAAATTTAGGAAATGTGAGTGAAGAGCAAGGTGAACGATTTCACCGAGATATCAAGAAGTTAGAAACAGATACCAGCGAAGATGGAGAGTTTTAATAATGGCAGACTACTGTTGGTCTTCAGAAAGACTTTCCAGATGCTTCCTACAAACGAAAATGTACCAAAAGGAGTCTGACTGGAAAAAGTAATATGTTTAGTGCTTATTACTCAAAATATTTTGGATTACAAGGTTAGTTTCGTTACGCAATTATTAATGTAAAAATTCTTGTTCAATGTTTAATCTTTTATTTTAAGGTAATAACTTGTTTAACCTGCATTGTCAAAAAACGTGACGTCCTATGACAAAATGGAAGTTACTTTTGGATTCTTCACACCCGAAAACACAAGACATGCGCAAAAAACAGCCTTGCAGACTTGTGTAGTTGTTTTTTGAAGTGTGTGATCTACATTACTTTTGTCCACAGGAGGAATTCCCACATATTTTTGCTGACTTTTCCTTTATTACTCTGTGATCTCACACTATGTTCACACACTACCATTTCCAATGCTCCAATGTTCCAATGACAAGTTATCATGACATTTTCGGTTTGGTTTTTCCAAAACAATTTCATTCGGAAGCGATCAATAAATTTACTCGACTCACCTGGTGACATTCATGAAGGCAATGTTGAAAAAGTATCCGCTGCTTATCATGAAACTACCCAGGATGATGACGTATTGCCAATCATGGGGAAATAATACTGGAAGGTGATTCCTCGGTAGGGTATTGCAGAACATGAACAGTGGAACGAAAAAGAATATCCTGCTGATCGACAATCCTACCAACCAAAGATCACTGGGGCGCTGTTGAAAAAATAAATGAATGTAGGTAGGTACTATTATTATTGTTTTGTGACATGAAGGTACCTTATTCAACGATGTTGCCATTACTCGCCCAATGACGCTGCAGATGTCACTGTACAAGAAAGTTACAACAGCTACGAAATATTTTTCTGAAAAATAAAGCTGTGAGTAGACGAGCCAATTTACAGATAATTTCATTTTTCAGGTGTGCACATGCTTACAAACTGAAAAACATTATAGGTTCTCCAAATATGATAAACTTGAATCAAACAATATTATTTTAATGAAACGAATGAAAATACTCTTGTCCAATTTCCGCTGGTTATTTTATTTTTACAACCGGTTTCGGGTTCTATCCCATTATCAAGTGAAAAAACTAACTAATACATGCAAAATCTAAAACCTTGGTTTTATAGGGAGTTTGTAGGTAAGCTGAATGAGGAGGTAATTAAATGAACGAGAGTGCCAACTATAAAATTCAACACTGGAGATTATACGAGAGGTTGCCTTTTATGTTTCGGAATTTGGCAACCCTAGTGTTGCAATCTGGCAACTGACAGCTCTATCGTAAAGTTTGACATTTTTGAGCTTATACGTTTTGACATATGCACGCTATTTGAACATTTTCGTGAACATTTTCGTGCGATTATTTTTTACAAGTTTCGACGTGGATTAACTCAGCAACAGTGCATGGATGAACTCAATTCAATTTTTGGCAATGAAGCCCCATCAAGGACCAGTGTTTATCGATGGTTTGGTGAATTCAATTGTGGTCGTAGTTCACTCCACGACGAATTTCGTGAAGGTCGTCCAAAATCAGTTGTTGTTTCTAAAACCATCGATTATGTGCGCGAACTGATATTGCAATATCCTCATATGACCTATCGTGAGATTGAGACAATCTTAGGCATTAGTGGGACCAGCATACATTCAATATTTGCATAAACATTTGATTGTCAAAAAAATTTGTTCGTGTTGGATCCCACACAATTTGTCAATCACTCAAAAAAAGGCTCGTGTTGATTTTTCGAAGGAAATGCTCAAAAAATATAATCGCGGTGCTTCTAAACACGTCTATGACATCGTGACAGGTGATGAATCGTGGATTTACGCGTATGAGCCCGAAAGTAAACAGCAGTGGACCGAATCCAACAAAAGTTGTTCACGCACGAAGCACTTCCAAGCAAATGGTTGCCTGTTTTTTCGGAAAAACTGGACATGTCGCAACCGTACCACTAGAACACAGCAGAACAGTCAATTCTGAGTGGTACCCAACCATTTGTTTGCCAGTTGTCTTCCAAGAAATCAGGAAAACCAACCGCCGAAGACGGACCACTCTTGACCACGACAATGCGAGCTCTCACACATCGGCTCAAACAACTGCATTTTTGAGCACCCAAAACATCGCATTGATGAGTCATCCGCCGTATAGTCCTGACTTCTTCTTCTTCTTTTTATTCCCGCACGTAAAAAACAAACCGAGAAGTCAATGTTTTTCGATACCTGAAGAAGCGGATGCTGCATTCAAAATGCATGTTTTGGAGATACCTCAATCAGAGTGACAAAAGTGCTTCGAAAATTGGTTCAAACGCATGTAAAAGTGTGTAGATCTTCATGGGGAATATTTTGCAAAAACAATAAAGTGATTTTCGATTATTAATATTTGATTTTGTTCTCTAATCCCGAAATATAAAAGGCAACCCTCGATTTTGCTCAACTAAAATTGGTACTATCACTACAAACTGCCAAATAAAACTTGCAATCCAATTTAGTTATAAAACATCACAAAGACAACGTTATTACAGTACTGGCTCTTACGTCGCCTCGTCTGTAGATCAGCTCGTACTGTAATAAGTCAAATTCCGGACTCGTAACGTGAAATAATATCACAGGGGGCTGGTTTGCAACAATTACCTTTCAAGCAAAACCATGACCTACCGTTCCAATCGTTCTCATTCCCTCTAAACTCTGAGACTACCAAAGCTGCAACCGCAGGATGTGTCGGAGCGTAAGCTAGAGCACCAGCCATGCCTATCGCTAAGCTGGACCAAATCTTCTTGGACACGTCTCTGAACTCCACGAAGCTACAGATTTGAAAATTATTGATTGACAAATTATATTATTCAGTATATATTTTTAAAACGAACAATGTGTGTTTTCCCATTGACCCACTACAATAAATGTTCCAAATAATTTTTTAATTTTATGAATATTGTGTTCCGTTATTCATAACATGATTTATAGACATGTTCTGCCTATGTAAAATATAAGTGTGAATAGAAATATTACTGTACCATTCATTATCGCCAAAATCAGCATCGTGAGAGCGAAAAACCCCGTTTGCCCTAAAAAAAATCATAAATCTTCCATAACTTGTTCCGTGTGAGTACATTTGATGTAGTCAGGTTCTATAAACTTATTTGAATTGCTTTCAATGAATGAATGAACAAACTTGTCTATGAAAAACCCATTTGTACTTCAACTCACACTCGTCAGTATCAACATTGATGAATATGGTCGATACGGCCAAACTGGCAGCTAATATAAATAGCGAAGCTAAAATCCTCGTCCTCAGCTTCATTTTATATCCGAATACGGTTGCCAGGACCATGCAGACTACTGACGGTACCGTAGAAGCTATATTGGAACCTGAAGCAAAATTTGACTGGAGATCGGATCTGTCGTTCGTGTTGTTCGAAGAGATGGATCGAAATTTATACATCCAATACTGAAAAAGAGATCAGACATTTAGGTCGTTGTGGTGTTAAAAACGTGTTGAAGCTCCATCTCAATGAATATTCATTCTACTGTATCGTTTTACATACTGATCGGTAGAGAATTTTATACTCTGTGCATTGATACTGTTCAATTTTTTGCCACTTTCCAGCTTATCACTTTATAACATCGTTACGCGATTCTTGAACAATTTTTCTATACGAATACAAATTGAACTAAAGCACTGCGACCCGCGATCGCAATATGTCACAGAAAGAAGCGAGAGGGTATTAGTTAGGTAGCTACTTAGTTCTAGTAAACAGCTCAATCATAGACAGCAACGTCACCTCTTAGCAACAAGTGGAAACACCCTATTATTTTTGTTGAGAACAATGTAATGTTCCACGCGCATCGACTCTAGAATAAAACCTTCCTTATCGATATAAAAGGAGTGCGTCGGCGCGACGTGAGTCTGTTGAGTCGAGTAATCGAAGCGATACGGTCGGAGAAGGATTCTAGTTCCTCTAGACTTCTCCGAATCCCGAACAAACAATTTTGATGCGGACGGAATTGATCGACTTGTGATATGTTGAGAAAGTGCACCGAATCAAATGAACTAATGAATTGAACAAGTATTCACTGAGATATTGCAGTTGAAGTCGACTCATAAAATTTGACTTTCTGGTATCAAAGCCTACTTCCTTAGACTTGAAAAATAACCAAGAAATAATACTTACCTGTGCGCATTATCTGTCAAATAAAATGTTTCGATGTACCTTTCGAAAATACTCACGTCATTTGCTGTCACAAAAAAAGTTGTTGGTAGCAGATGCATTATTCCAAGTAACAAAAATAATAAATGGACTAGAAGAAATGTGTCTGGAGGCCCGATTTCGATAACTCTGTGATTTCTTTCTTCTGTGTTGATTCTTTTGGAATCTGAAATTCAAGACTGAAATTAAATTGGAAAATTTCAACGTCAACAGTTAACATATCCTTGAGGTGAAGTCTACACTTGAAAAATATCGATCGTACCAGGGGCGTATACACGGGGGCAACAGGGGTATTACATTTGATTTGTGAAAGTATTCGAATCCCATGTTCAAATACCCCCCCCCCCTTGCTG